TACAGTATGCCTGTCTTTCCATGTCTGCTCATACAACATATTAATCAGGATAGCTCACAACTTCTATTAAGCAACGTGCTATGCACCAGGTGCTATGCCTTAGCACACGCTCTTCACTCAGAACAGTCCTCTGGATCGGGCCCCATTATTATCCTCACGGAGGAAGAGACTACAGTGTTGGAGAACTAAATCATTTGCTCATGAGCACACAAGTGGCAGAGTAAAGTCTAACTACACGTAATGGTCCATGACACAGTATACCTGTCCCCTGCTGAAGGAGCCTCAGGTACCCAGTTCTTCATATTATAGACGATGCTTCAGTGAACCTCCTTGTACATGCGGCTCTGTTCTCTTGAGCATTTGTAGGTTGGAGGATTAGAAATTCTGGGGCAAAGGTCATGCCCAATTTTAAGTTTGATAGACTCCTGCTCTTCAGCCAGACTACCAATTCATACCTCACCTGTAGGGTGGAAGGGTCCCCAGTTCTCCACAACCTCCACGGTTCTCTGTCCTTTGCATCTGTGTCAATTTGATGATTCAAAAGCAGCACTTCCCGTACAGGAAGGAAACTAACATTTTCTCTGTGCAGACGAGAGTCTGGCATTCATGCATGTCATCTCACTCTGTCTTCACAACCCCTTTCCATAGCAGGGGCTAGTCCTTGTTTTACTGACAACAAAATTGAGGCTCAGAGGGGTGAAGGGGTTTATCCAAGGCCCCTCAGCTAGAAAGAGAAGGTCCCTGGCCTTCCCCTCACTTGAGTGTAGCCACCTGGCTGGGGCTATGCAGAAAGCTTCCTTACAGACGTGTTTTAAGAGGCTTGAAGGAAGATAAGGACACGGGTAGTTGGAAAAGACACAGCAGATGGGTATACGTAAAGCTCTTAGAAGAACACCGGTCACTTCAGAAGTGGTGAGGGGATGTTTGCCATTATTTTCGGAGTCAGTCACCTGGATTTTAAGTGCTGGGCATTGAGCCAGTGGCACCCCTTAGACTGAGATTGGTATCCTGTGACCATCAATGTGTCAGACAAGACTTTTCTAGATACATAAGTGATAGAAACCAAACAGCTTAAGGGAGAGGGCATGTATTGGCTCATAGAACCAAAACTCCAGGTATGGCTGCCCGGAGGGAAATGGGGCAATAAAGAAACACTGACCCCTTTGCTGGGCCCCTAACTTCTCACTTTGCCAAGGAGAACCTGAGGCCCAGGAGAACACTGGGGAAAAGTCCCAATTCTTTCTCCTCTCCTTGTCTGTAGAAAGAGGACATTGATTCCTAATGAAGTAGTTAAGATTATGGTTGCCTGGGTTTGAATCCCAGCTCTGCCAGCTCTAACCCTGAGTGAGAAAGTGTATAAAGTGGGGACATGAACCGTTGTTATGGGAGTTCAGTGACCGAGACGGTGCCAGCTCCTGCCTCCAAGGCACTGATTGCAAGGTGAGCTGTGGGTGGTAGAGGAAGCCCTCAAATACAGCATTTATTGATTGCACTTGGTGTGCAGCAGAGGACTGAGGTGCTAAGGGACATAAAGACTAACGGGGACCTCGTCTCCAAGGTTCATGATCCAGTTGTGGGGAGAGGCTCGGCGTCCACGTTCTGATGGGGGGCAGCCTTTGGAGCCAGGCACAGCGAGTTCCAACCTCAACTCTGCCATTTGCTGTCGGATTCTCCATGCCTCCATATCTTCATATGAAAAACAGGAATAAATGTCTGTGAATCCAAGTGGTTGTGAAGACTAGAAATGGGGTACAAAAAGCGCCTCATACAGTGGCTGCCAGATAGTGTGCAATAGTGACTATTTTTAATCATTCACAGTGTCTGTGATATGCTACAACGAAATTACTCCAAGGTGCTTTTATTTTCACCAGATTTCCTTGTTCAAACCCCTCCGTCCCAATATCACGGATTCATTCCATGAACGCTCATTTCCCCTGCACACAATCGTGACCACTATTTCTTCCAAGCCTTGCCCTCCCCATACCACGGACCAGCTTTCGTAACACTTCTCAGAGCCCTCTCCAGCTCCCTTCAGTCTTTGAGGGGCCCTTGCCAGAGCAGACACACCCGGGCGCTGGGCACACTGTCGCCTGAACGTCGAGTCTTTGATGGAAGCTATGATACATGTGGGGCTTCTGCCCTGGGCTGGCAGACTGCCTCCCTGCAGACAGCCCAGCCCTGTGGGAAGCACTTGGGCTTCAGCATCCGACAGAACTGGGTCTGAATCCCTAGTTCTTGCTCACTGTGGGTACTTGGGCAAGTTACTGAGTCCTTTGAGCCTCAGTCTCCTTGTCTGTAGAAGGAGGACGCCGATACCTAATGAAGTATTAATAGTTAAGAGTATGGTTGCCTGGGTTTGAATCCCAGTTAGGCCAGCTATGACCTTGAGTGAGAAAGCTGAGGGTTTTTTCATGTATAAAATGGGGATACGAATAGTTGTTATGGGGGTTAAGCGATGATATGTAAAGTGCTTAGCTCAGTGCTTGGCACACAGCTTGTAAGTTTTAGTTCTTACTGGACTGAACTGTCTGTGCAGAGAACTCAGGCAGGATGGGGTGGGGATGGGCAGGGAGGTGGGGGGCAGGCCTCTGGCTCCGTTTCGGTTGGGGTGCAGGAAGGCAAACTGCCACTCTTCTCTGTCTCAGGTGCTGTCCCACAACCTGTACACGGTCCTGCACATCCCCCACGACCCCGTGGCCCTGGAGGAGCACTTCCGAGATGATGACGATGGCCCTGTGTCCAGCCAGGGCTACATGCCCTACCTCAACAAGTACATCCTGGACAAGGTGGGGCCCAGCTTACGGGGGACACCTCTAACCTCTCCCTACTTCCTCAGCCTGGCCAGCACCCTAATGCCTTGCCACCCCAACTCTTCCCCCCAGTAAACTCCCACTTCTGTGCGCTCCCTCCGTCTCTGCTCTCCCATCTCTACCCCTCACATCCCAGCCACCTGTCCCCTCCTTGTCCCTCTCAACACACCCTCAATGTCCCTCATCTCTACCCTAGGCCCCATCCTTCCCATGACCTTCCGCCCCACCCCTGCCTAGGCCACCTCCAGCTTCCATCTATAACCTTTACAAAGGGCTCTCCATTTCTCCCCATACTGTCCCCCTTCCAGCCCTTCCCACCTGTCACTGTCTTCCCAGGTTCTTCTTGGCTGTCAACTCCTTGCTGGGCTTCCCCGCCTTTCTGCCCTGGGCTCAGCGTCTGGAGTTTCTCTGTTGTCAGGGGACTTCAGTGGGTGTGGGTGTGTTGAGGCGGTGAACTGGATGGAACCAGCTAGTTACCTGGTAATCGGCTCAGGGACTCCTTGAGTTAGAGCCTTGGACTTGGCAGGGTGGGAAGCAGGGGCATAGATGACCCAGGACAGCCAGCTGGAGCCTAGCTGGGTGGTAGAGCAGGGCTGGGGCAGATGACTGACTTGCAGGCCTGGCGGCAGGTGGAGGAGGGGGCTTTCGTTAAAGAGCACTTTGATGAGCTGTGCTGGACGCTGACGGCCAAGAAGAACTATCGGGCAGACAGCAACGGGAACAGCATGCTCTCCAATCAGGATGCCTTCCGCCTCTGGTGCCTCTTCAACTTCCTGTCTGAGGACAAGTACCCTCTAATCATGGTTCCCGACGAGGTGAGGGTGATGGCAGCCCCAGGGACCGAGTCACTTGGGGCCAGGCCTCAGCAAAACCATGAAGGAGGCCAAATCACCTTCTGTGCCTTCCCACATCCCCTTTCTTCACTGTCTCCCCGTGCTCATGCCCGTCTCCCCCAGCTGTAGCCAGATGCCTAGAACTGCCCATATCAGAGCAACTGTGCCTTCTTCCAGGAGAACTGAAGTGATATTTCCACCAGGGTTCTCCTGGCCCTCGCGGTAGCAAAACGATCTGCAAACTCTGTCTGATACATTACTGAGCACTTTAAAATCAGAAGATTTAAGATCAAATGGTGGGATTTTAGGCGCTGTGGCACTCTAGGAAGGGTGCTTTATAAGGGGAAGGGAGACCTTCCCGAGGACGTTAACCTAGGTGGGCAACCAAGCCTGGCCCTGGTCCCAGGTTTTCCCTTTCTGTCTTTCTTCTGGAGAGCCAGGACAGACTCAGCCCAGGGCCCCAGAGACAGGGCATCCTGGGAGAAGAGGCAGGAGTCTGGCCCCTACCTCCTCCACTCCCGGGGAAGCCAGGGAGGCCATTTTCCTCCCTGCCTGCACTCTGCCTCTTTTCCCCACTTCTCTCCCTGCCCATTCGGCCTTTTAACCCTTTAGTCCTCTTGGTGGCTCTGGAGATGCCAGAGTGAACTTAGGTCTTTAAAGTGTACAGGGAGGGGGCCTCTGTGCTTACAAGACGTCCTGGCACGTCCACCTCTACTCAGCTTTGTCCTTGCTTCTGTTTGTGGGAAAGGGAACCTCCTGGGCTCTCAACTGCTTACCCTCCACTAAAGGCCCAGCTGAGATCCAGTAGTCCCCAGAAAGTCCTAAAGAGAGTTTCCCAAGCAGCCCCTGGGGTAGGTGAGGGGATGTGGTTGCCCTTGTCAGATCCCTGCCAGTTAGGGCAAAGTGGCCTCTCAGAGGCCAGGAGGCCGCTTGCTTCTGTGATCAACACACAGTGAGAACAAACTGCAGCAGGATGTACCCCAACCACCACTTCCGGTTCCTCTATAACAAGTTTCCTGTCCCCGCGCTGCTTAACCCCACCCCAAATCCCCTTGCCCTCCCACAAGGGAAGGATCCCCAGGGTTGGGGCTTGGGGGCTGGGACTGCAGACCTAAATGTGATTCAGGACATCCAAATAGAGTTCTGGCTGCCCCCAACTTGCTGTGTGTGACTTAGAGCGAGTCACTTCCCTCTTTGGGCCTTGGTTTTGTCACATGCAGAGCGAGGCTACCGGACCATAGGGCCCTTGCACCCCCTCGACGCTTTCTGTGATCCACGGCCTCTGCCTGGCCCCCAGCTCCCAGCTCCCACTTTCACCCTGCCCTCAATTTAAGGCAGGAAGGAGCGGGACTGCAGGTTGGGGGGGCAGAGAATTCCCAAGTTGAGCTGGGGCTCCACAATCCCGTCCTAAATCTCTACCCTGATCTCCACCAGCCGTTCGTCCTCTGGCCCCTCCAACCCTCTGTCCCTGGTCCCTCTGCCCAGGCTGTGGGAGCCAGATTGGAGCGCCCCCTGGTGTTGGTGCTGGCAACACTGCCTGCCGCAGTTACCAAGCCTTCCTTCACTTCCAGGTGGAATACCTGCTGAAGAAGGTGCTCGGCAGCATGAGCTTGGAGGTGAGCTTGGGTGAGCTGGAGGAGCTGCTGGCCCAAGAGGCCCAGGAGGCCCAGGCGGCCCAGACCACCGGGGGCCTCAGCGTCTGGCAGTTCCTGGAGCTCTTCAACTCAGGCCGCTGCCTGCGGGGCGTGGGGCGGGACACCCTCAGCATGGCCATCCACGAGGTGTACCAGGAGCTCATCCAAGATGTCCTAAAGCAGGTCAGCCAGGCCGGGGACTAGGGGAGGAGCACAGGGAGGATTGGAGGGGGCACCTGGGACGCCTCTGACTTTACTCCGGCCGGCAGGGCTATCTGTGGAAGCGAGGGCACCTGCGGCGGAACTGGGCCGAACGCTGGTTCCAGCTGCAGCCCAGCTGCCTCTGCTACTTCGGGAGCGAAGAGTGCAAGGAGAAAAGAGGCACTATCCCGCTGGATGCACACTGCTGCGTGGAGGTGAGGGGGCAGGGGAAGGGGTGGAGCACCCACAGGGCCCCCCGGGGTGATGTGAAGACAAGGGGGTCAGAAGGTGAGTGGAGAAAAGCCACAGTGACACAAATTTCTGCTTAGATTAGTGTAACCCAAATATATCTGGGTGCCTCAAGGCCATTCTCATCCAGGTCAGCACTTTAAAAATACGAAAACTGCGACTCAAGTACCAAAGAATTGGTGAGTAATATGGATTTTGCTGAAGATTTCAGAGGAGATGGCTTATGTCTACGCTATATGGCAAATCTTTCTAAAAATCCTTTTTAAAGGTCTTTCTCCTTTACCCAAATTTCATTCCCTTTGGCAGCTCTATACCTCCCTATTCTCCCTCCACAACCCTCTCCTCTCCCTCTTCCTCTCCCTTTTCCTCCCTTGGCTCTGTTCATTATTGTTTTAGAGGCTTACAACAGCAATGTTTTAAATAGTAGTAAAAATATATATAAATGACAAGAAACTTGCCATTTTAACCATTTTAAGTGTACAATTCAGTGGCATTAAATACAGTCACCAAAAAACAAACTTTTCTTTTTGAGACAGAGTCTCACTTGGTCACCCCAGCTAGAGTGCAGTGGCATGATGATAGCTCACAGCAACCTCAAACTCTTGGGCTCAAGCAATCTTCCTGCCTCTGCCTCCCAGAGTGCTAGGATTACAGGCATGAGCCACTGTGCCCTGCCTTTTGCCCATTTTTTAAATTGGATTATTTGGTTTTTTGCTATTGAGTTGTTTGAACTCTTTACATATTCTGGTTATTAATCCTTTGTCAGGTGGATAGTTTGCAAATATTTTCCCCTAGTTTGTGGGTTGTCTCTTCACTTCGTTGATTGTTTCCTTTGCTATGCAGAAGCTTTCTAGCTTGATGTAATCCCTGATGACTATTTTTGCTTTGGTTGCCTGCGCTTTTGAGGTCTTACGCAAAATATTTGCCCAGATCAATGTCCTGGAGTGTTTCCCCAATGTTTTCTTCTAGTAGTTTCATAGTTTCAGGTCTTAGATTTAAATCTTTAATTCATTTTGATTTGATTTTTGTATATCATGAGAGCTAGGAGTCTAGTTTCATTCTTCTGCATATGATTATCCAGTTTTCCCAGCATCATTTATTGAAGAGACTGTCCTTTCCCCACTGTATGTTCTTGGCCCCTTTGTCAAAAATGAGTTGGCTCACGCCTGTAATCCTAGCACTCTGGGAGGCCGGGGCGGGCGGATCGTTTGAGCTCAGGAGTTCGAGACCAGCCTGAGCAAGAGCAAGACCCCATCTCTACTAAAAATAGAAAGAAATTAGCTGGACAACTAAAAATATATAGAAAAAAAATTAGCCGGGCATGGTGGCGCATGCCTGTAGTCCCAGCTACTTGGGAGGCTGAGGCAGTAGGATCGCTTGAGCCCAGGAGTTTGAGGTTGCTGTGAGCTAGGCTGACGCCATGGCACTCTAGCCCGGGCAACAGAGTGAGACTCTGTCTCAAAAAAAAAAAAAAATGAGTTGGCTGTGGATTTATATCTGAGTTTTCTATTCTGTTCCACTGGACTATGCGTCTGTTTTTATGCCAGTACCATGATAATTTGGTTATTATAGCTTTGCAGTACTTTGAAATATAGTAATATGATGCCTTCAGCTTTGTTGTTTTTGCTCAGGTTTGCTTTGGCTTTGGGGTCTTTTGTGGTTCCATACAAATTTTAGGATTTTTTTTTCTATTTCTATGAAGAATGTCATTGGTATTTTGATAGGGATTGCTTGAATCTGTAAATTGCTTTGGTAATATTGTCATTTTAACAATATGAATTCTTCCAATCCATGAGAATAGGGTATCTTTCCATTTTTGTGTGTTTTCTTTAATTTCCTTCATCAATATTTTATGATTTTCTTTGTATAAATCTTCCACTTCTTTGGTTAAATTGATTCCTAGGTATTGTATATTCTTTGCAGCTATTGTAAATGGGATTGCTTTCTTGATTCTTTTCTAAACTGTTTGCTGTTGGCATATATAAATGCTACTGATTTTTGTATCATCCAACTTCACTGAATTTATCAGTTCTAACAGTTTTTAATGAAGTCTTTAGGTTTTCCTAAGTGTAAGATCATATCATTTGTGAACAAGGCTAATTTGACTTCTTCCTTTCCAATTTGGATGCCCTTTACTCTTTTTTCCTTGCCTAATTGCTCTGGCCAGGGCTTCCAGTATCATGTTAAATAACAGTGGTGACAATAGGCATCTTGCCTTGTTTCAGATCTTAAAGGAAAGGCTTTCAATTTTTCCCCATTCAGTATGATGTTGGCTGTGGGTTGGCAAAAAAGAACTTTAATAATTTGAAGGAAGGTCCCTCTATATTCAGTTTGTTGAGGGTTTTTGTCCATTTTATCAAATGCTTTTTCAGCATCTATTGAATGATCATATAGTTTTTGTTCTTGGTTCTATTAATGTGATATATTACATCTATTGATTTGCATATGTTGAACCATCCTTGCATCCCTGAGACGAATCCCACTTGATCATGGTGAATGATCTACATTCACAATATTGTGTAACTATCACCACTATCTATTTCCAAAACTTTCTCATTGTCCCAAATAGAAACTGTACCCATTAAGCAATAACTCCTCATTCCACCTTCTCCACCCCACCCTCATCACTGGCAACCTCTATTCCGCTTTCTATCTCTACAAATTTGTCAATTCTAGGTATCTTATATAAGTGGAATCATACAATATTTGTCCTTTTGTATCTGGCTTTTTTCACTTAACATAATGTTTTAAAGCTTCATCTATGTTGTAGAATGTATCAAAATTGCATTCTTTCATAAGGCTGAACAATATTCCATTGTATGGATATACTACATTTTGTCTATCCGTTCATCTGTTGATGGACATTTGGGTTGTTTCCACCTTTTTGCTATTGCAAATAATGCTGCTATGAACATCCATGTACAAGTTTCTGTGTGGACATGTGTTCATTTCTCTTGGGTATATACATACCTAGGAGTAGAATCGCTGGATCATATGGTAACTAACTTTTTGAGGAACCACCAAACTTTTCCTCAGTGGCTACACCATTTTACATTCTCACCAGCCACGTATGAGGATTTCAATGTCTTCACATCCTTGCCAACACTTATTTTATGTTTTAAAAAATTATTACAGCCATCCTAGGTTCTGTCCATTTTTGTCACATAAGGTGCTGCTGTGGAAAGAGCACAATCTAGGCAGAAGTCTCAGCTTCACCACTAACAGGCAGTGTGAGGGGGACAAGGTGCTGAATCTTTTAGAGCCTCAGTTTCTTCCTCTTTAAAGTGGAGTTGCCTGCCTGGCAAAGATATAGGAGAGAAGAAAATGATGCCTATGAGACACTAGTACAGACTCTAGAACATACGAAGCTCATAGGTGGCAACTATTATTTTCCACAGAACAAGCTTAGGGGAGGCAGAGATTTGGTCTGTTGGCACACCTCAGTATTCCAAACCCCTGGACCAATGAGTGGCACTCAGTAGGTACTCCAAAAATACGTGCGGAAGGAATGAATGAACTTTCTCAGCAGGCAGGGCTATGTGGAAGTGAGCCGTCACGGACGGTGGGGACCCTGTCACTGGAAGTGTTCAAGCGTAATCTGCATAAACGCTCATGCGGAGAGATACCAAGATGAAAATGGCCCCACCCAGCCTTCAAAAAGCAAAGGCTGCAGCGTTGGGGGACACAAGTACCCCATAGCTAACCGTCCAAATCGGGCCACGCAGGCTCCTGGCAGAATGGAAGGGGTCCTCAGGGGAGACGGTCAGCGGGAGGGATGGGGGCTTGCGCTGCAGCACCGCCGGGGCAGGCGAGGCCCTGACCCCAGTGAAGCCAGCCTGGCCGCGGCCGCCGCTCTCCCCCAGGTGCTGCCGGACCGCGACGGAAAGCGCTGCATGTTCTGTGTGAAGACGGCCACCCGCACGTATGAGATGAGCGCCTCCGACACTCGCCAGCGCCAGGAGTGGACGGCTGGTGAGCGCCCGCTGGGTGGCCTGCGTCTGGCTGGGCCTCTGGCGCCTCATCTGTGAAAAGGGGGTGATAAGGCTTCACCCAGCGGGAGGCCGGAGAGTGGACCGGCCTGACCCGCTCCCGCTCCCGCAGCCATTCAGATGGCGATCCGGCTGCGGGCCGAGGGGAAGACGTCGCTGCACAAGGACCTGAAGCAGAAGAGGCGCGAGCAGCGCGAGCAGCGGGAGCGGCGCCGGGCCGCCAAGGAGGAGGAGCTGCTGCGCCTGCAGCAGCTGCAGGAGGAGAAGGAGCGGAAGCTGCAGGAGCTGGAGCTGCTGCAGGAGGCGCAGCGGCAGGCGGAGCGGCTGCTGCACGAGGAGGAGGAGCGGCGCCGCAGCCAGTACCGCGAGCTGCAGCAGGCGCTCGAGGGCCAGCTGCGCGAGGCCGAGCAGGTGGGCGGGGCG